AAAAGTTTAAATTTTAATTTTTATACGAAATATTTCAGTACAGTGGGTATGTGAACGAGCCATAAATGCGATTCCTATTCGGTAATTCAGTCACAAAGGTTCTTAGTGACGTTCTTTGTGTACCATTTAATCTCATTAAAATCCCAAAATTAAAATGTTCATTGATTGTTAGAGTGATAACGTGTACTTTTGGGTGATTTTCCATATATCGCCTCTTCTCAAAAATTAACGTTTAGAACACCCTTTAAACAGAGTGATGTATTCTTACATAAATGAATTTTTACAGGTGATGGGCGAATGTCGATAGAAAAAAACTTATTACCTCGCTCTGTGTTTAAAAGTTTCCAGTCCTTGTCTACCACTGGCAAAGTAAAAGCGTCTTCGTATGTCGTTTTATCGTTTATTTCACAAGTCCTGTTTGCTGGACTGTAGTTTACTGATATACAGTTGTCGGGCGCAAGAGAGAGACATCTCACAGCACACTCTAACTGAGAGCAAACGTTGTATGTCAAACGCTGCCTGCCATTGTAAACTCCATTGACCAGCCGAAAACCCTTCTGGATGTGCAGAAGCTCGTAGCGATTTGCACCAATGGGTATTAAATGGAAGACAGCAACCACATCTAATACCAGTAAGCGGAAATACTGGTTAAAATACATACTTTGTTCGGGATATTGCAAGTCAGAATTTACCTCTATTTGCTTTACCGCAACACAAAGTTGTATATGTCAGAACTTTTGCAGAATTGCTTTATATTTCAGTTATAATCAATTAATCAACGTCAGTATCTTGATACAAATTCGACTTTTCTATTCCGTGATTCTTTTTTTTGTTTTCAGTTTGTCATCTGTGAATAAAAACACTTTTAGTTTATTGACAAAGGCATAATGTCTTTGCTCTTGAAAATCCAAAAGGAAATTATCTCCAAGGTAACTGCCGAGTAAAATCAATATTGAAGTATTTCTCTCAGAGTATGTTGAGTCGCAGCTTTTATCATTTGAATATGGTGTAATACAGGGGCTACTCAAGAGCAATGGATTATTTTCGCTTTTAACACTTAACATCTTCAGTTTTATAATAGAATATATTTACGCTTTGTTGCTGTTATTATGTTAGATGTCACCCTATAGGGACATGCAAATATACACCTGCTAACAAAGGATTCGCTTTTTTAAACATTCAAATGGTGTAAATATTCATCATGCAATGTGTAGAACAGTTTCATTAGCTATGTTATTGTAATAGACTTGTGAAGATTCTTTTTGTCTATAGCTATTTATATTAGTTTGATCTTACCATCCAATATTTCATATAAATAGCTATAGACAAAAGAATCTTCACAAGTCATCATGCAATATTTTTACAGGACAATGTTGATGAAGTGAACAATTGATCTGGTGTAAAATGACCTGTATTGGCTGTTACCTGTAAGTCATCAGGTAAATTCACGTGGGCTGATGTCACAGAGTGCAACCATTTGTTTGTGGACAATCGGTACCTCAGTACCAGGTAACATCAAGAGCTACATTGAAAAAAACATCATAGAATGTATATAAACAATGTGAAACACACACACACACACGCACACGCACACACACACGCACACACACACGTACACACACACATGATATAGAAATCATTTCCATTTCAAAGGTGTTACTCCACTGAAATATGGTGATATATTTTCAAACTATAATTTTCATTATTAGAGAAAATTGAAAGCCATAGTTAAGATACATTTTATGTATAGTTACCATGTTTGTACGCTCAATAAATAAACTTAAATAATTAAACAAATGAATAAATTCATAATTCAATTATTTTACAGCTTTAAAATACCGCGAAGGAGAGGTAAGTGATGTAATAAGTTTAACATTCCAACAATTTTTACAAAAGTTTATTTAAAACTAGCCCTTATCTTTAAATGGTCCATATTGTGCACGTTTGATTATTTGGAGCGTTAGTAATGGCGACTCCTACATACGTTTGCATTTTATAGTGTTGAGAACAATTGGAGCCTCAAAATAATATATTGTCAAAAAAGCTTAGTCCGGACCTTTAAACATAGCTCGGTGGACTGGTAAACTGTGATTTGCAGATCTTTGTGTTATTGATATTATCTCAAATACTACTCGAACAGTATACATACATTCATTTAAGTGCACTTGAACAAGCTAAATATAAATAAAATCAATTATCTTTGTACAGCTCATGTTTTAGACTAATGGCGTTTTGTTTGTTCCCATCTTTTTACTTAACGTATAACTATTTGATTATTTCAATGTAAATTCCGGTTGAGAAAAAAAAGGTGCCGGAAACGGTATCTTATGCACACAAGACGGGAACAAGGGCGCAGTGGAAAACATTTAAACAGGTTTTCGTTCTCCATGTTCCTCCGCATGGTTTCTTTACATACTAGTAATGTCGGGTTGTATTTATATTCGTAAATTCAAAATCTTTCTCATATAACACTTAGTTGGAAAATTGTTTTGTAGAGTTACTGAATTTGGTCGTTTTAGTGTCTTTCGAAATCGAACCGTAGAATTGATTTCGATGATGAAACGACTGGTGGATAAAACACTAGCAGTTGGCTCCACTTCTGCATTTTGAAAGTCTCGCTTCCTTTTATTGTAAAATATTTTTATATTTTATTAAAGTAAGTCGGTTTTTATTTTCCTCGCGCTGGAATTCCATCGGTGAGCAGGACACGGGGACACGCTGTGATTAGCGTTTCAGTGGAAGTCATACGCTGATGGTGCTGGCTGACGTCACAGTTTTACATTCTTCTCAGAGTTATACTTGAAGTATCACAGATGTACCATCTTATTTATGCTCTTCTATGAATTATAATTGTAGTATTACAAATGTACCATCTTATTTATGTTCTTCTTAGAATTATAATTGTAGTATTACAAATGTACCATCTTATTTATGTTCTTCTTAGAATTATAATTGTAGTATTACAAATGTACCATCTTATTTATGTTCTTCTTAGAATTATAATTGTAGTATTACAAATGTACCATCTCATTTATGTTCTTCTTAGAATCATAATTGTAGTATTACAAATGAACCATCTTATTTATGTTCTGCTTAGAATTATAATTGTTGTATTACAAATGAACATCTACCACTCAGATGTAATTTATTGTTATTATTATTTTTATTATTATTTTGCAGAAAAATGTGAAATACATGTACAGTACTATAGAAGTAACTTGCTTTTAAAGGTGTTTGTAAGTTACTAATGGAATGGCTTCCGTAAGTTTTTCGTATCCTTCAAACAATCAAATTATCAATCAATGAAAAAAAAACATCACAGAGAATAATAATCGTCGGGGAACGTAAAAGAAAGGTATAAAATGAGACCAAATAAACATATCTACGGAAATTGAAGACATTGACCCATTTAGAAAAACTCAATATATACACAAGGATTGTAAATATTCGGTAAGATATTAAAAGCGTCCTTTGAACTTAACTGAAACGTATATTTATTTGAGAATAAGTCTTCACTAAGTGGACGGCTGGGTAGTAAAACGCACTTTTTAATGAAACAGGCGGCACGTCACTGCGAACATGAGGTTGAGGTCGTGCATTCTCTTTATGATATTCGTCAGTTTTGGTGGATTTCTCTCCATTCAAGGAAACTGGTACCGTTCTGAAGGTTTTCAGGCCACGGATGGGTTTCGATTGGTTAATGGCGTCTTTAGTGACGCTCAGCGTTTGTCATACAAGGTGGCCTCTAAGATAGAGTGCTCTGTGAGGTGCCTGTCTCTGGGTCCTGGGAGGTGCACATCTGTCAACTACAACAAAGAAAACAGAACGTGTGAAATAAATGACAAAACAATCCACGATGACGCTGGGACAGTACCTACTGCATGCGATGGCTGGGAGTTCTACAACACCGCACGAGGTAAGGTTCCAATTTTCCTTGATCTCACCTCATCTTACCTATTGTTACCATGTTAAAGCTTTTAACCCAGTAAATGTTCAATAGGTTTTACAGTATAAAATACAAATAAAAGCAAAGAAAAAATATTAATATAAATTGATTCAAATTACGTAGAATTGAAACTCCGTTAGTATATTGAATCCATTACAAACCCACTTTTACATTGTAAAGCCATATAATTTCTTTTAAAAAATGTCCCTCTATTAGTTCCTTTTTAAACGCCTATATATACTGAAAAGTAATAGTAGTGAAATTGAGTTGAATTGTGTTCACTTTGTACCGCAAATTTAAAATAGTCGTACCCCTATGCGTTCCAAGCACCAGTCCAAAAATGATACATATAAGAGGACAGTAGGTATATATTTTTCAATTACAAACCAAATATGCATGTCACCATATTACATGGCTCAAGGGCCCTTTATAGCATTAAATTGTTCGTTTTAGGCCCCCCAAATCCTCCGTCGATTATAAGCGTCAGTACAACACAGCCAACCGCCAGACAGATCACCTGGGTAGCAGGTGACGACGGCGAATTCGACCAAACCTTTACCCTTGCTATCAAGTCACAGGGTGCTGACGACAGCACATACGTCACAATAGTTACCATGGCCGACCCCGGGCACCGAGACATTGTGACGTCACATGTGACGGGTTTGAGCGTGGGAAATACATATACGCTGAAGCTGACGTCAACAAATACTAGACCAGTTGGAATAAATTTTGCCTCAGTGACTGTTGATATCACAGGTGAATTTGAGAGTGTCACATGACTTTTATCGAAAATCTTAAACTTGAAATAAATACTTATATGTCGGAAGATCTCTTTCTGAAATGGGTTGTCAAATGGTAAATATCTATAGGCCTATATCTAGTGGATCAGATGGTTTAAAATATCCTTCACCTTATTACAAATACAGCATTGATATTTTACTGAAATATTCCAAACCTTTTTTTAGCAAAACAGTCATGCATATTTTAAAAACGATGAAAGTGGATTATTATTTTGTTTTCACTTTATTAGCTTCACTGCCAAGTTCATGCACAGAATGGAAACGGTTTAACAGCACTAGCGGTCTCTATTTGGTTGACCCAGATGGCAGTGGAGGTGTGACCGCTTTTGAGGTGTATTGTGACATGTCATCCACTCCACCCACGGCTTATTTCCACCATGACCAGGAAGTCAGGACACGGGTCAACGGATATGAAGACGCGATGTCGTACTCAGTTAGCTTAACTTACACCGGTGAGCGCACTACACATGTTCAGGTCACGAGAAAAGTATACTAAGAAGAGAGCCCAACAAGTGTGGCTTTCCACGAAGCGTGATGGGAAATTTGTTGTTTCAACCTGACCGAAAAAAAAGTAATTTATTTGTCATGGCTCATTGATTTCTGCAATCTCAGTACCCCACAATATCTATCTTTTTTGTTTTAGTTTTAGAATGACCAAATTAAAACGAACGTGTGGATTTTCTTGGGATGTCTGGTAATAAAAAAGTGCGCTCGGGATCACCCAGTGGCCCGGATGTCTAATTAACCATTACATAATTTACTTTTCCTTTTTCAGTCAGTATAAGCAATGTTGTCGCATATGTGGATAATGTTGGTGTGAGTTGCTCTCAGTACCTGAAATACGAATGCCGTGGTTCGACCCTTCGACAATATGGCGGATGGTATGACCGTGATGGAAATATAGCGACGTTTTGGGCTGGCGGAACACCAGGTGGTGCTTCATATAACTGCGCATGTTCAAGAGATGGATCCTGTGCAGAGCCTTCAGATCGTAAGTGGGTCAACTGTTGAGAACTAGACTCTGAACAGCGGGTATGGTCATGTAGATTTTTACGCAATTTTCCTATAAATTACATGGTGGAAGTCTACATGTGTAACACTAGTGCAGCTTACTCAGTATGTATATATAGTTTGACCGTTTTTTCAGTAGCCTAATTATTTTCATCGTCCACGTCGTACACATACATGTAGAACCATGGATTATGTTTTTCAGATTGCAATTGTGACGCAAATGACAACGTTTTGAGATCGGACGAAGGATATATCACACAGTCAAGTTACCTGCCGATAACTATTGTAAAATTTGGAGATACCGGCGACTCTGGCGAAGAAGGCTATCACACAGTAGGGCCACTTGTCTGCCAAGGATAAATATTTAAAAAGAACAACCTTCGTGATATTGGTATATAAAAACATATTAAGTATTTTTAATTATATCTGTGGCTGAGATGAGAGCACTTGGATATTATGGTAGACTACAGTAGCATAGACTTAAACCGTCTGGTATTTGGGTTAAGAGCAAATATCATCTTTTTTAATCGTGGTGTTTTTGAAATTTGAGAAAAACTGCACGTTTTTTTATTGAACAAACTTTTATTTTTAAAAAATCTCCACCTACATTGAAAGAACACCGTACTCTTTGGTACAGCTGTTTTCCTTATGGCAGCTTCCGGTGGATTGTCATTCCGTCTGGGAAAATCTTTTAAAATGAGCTTGCATTTCACATTTAACGCAGCCTATGTAACGATTACAAGAGAAAGGAGACAGATTGCATGACGTGGCCGACCGTATGTGTTATGGTTACAAATGGATTGCATTAAAAGCCCGCTGCCCACGGCAGTCGTACCATGGGCCAAAGTAACTTAGTATCGAGTCCTGACGTACGCATTTGATGTGTTGTGTACTGTCAGTGGCGACATTATCCACATAGGCTGCGATCAGCTCGATATCCACTGAAATAAAAACTTCCTTTTTAACGTTTCACTCTGGGGCAGACCAACGACCTGTACAGAACGAATCAATTCAACCGATATTTGAAAGGACTCCGGCTTTTTAAACAGAAGAAAAGAGTTTACTACCCATTTTGCCATAACACCGGCTAAGATTAAGAAATAAAATAGATGGAAAATATAAAATATATAAACGAATTGATTAAATTTAATTTCATTAAGTTAGATAATTGAATTAAATTAAAGGGATAACAACTGTTCGTTTTGGCCAAAAAATGAATTTTCCTGGAGTAAACAACAATTTGCCCATACTTACCAATTGTTAATGGTTCCATTGCTACATTCAAAGTTAGTCCCTGTTTTTTATTTCTAAAAAGTTTGTTTTTTTTTTTGTAAAATCTCTAAAGAGATCTTAAGATATTATTACAGAGTATAACTATCTGTGGAGGTCACCTTTTTGGATGACAAGCAATATTTCAGATTTATTGCTATTACCGTCAATTTTTGGTAAAAAAAGAATATATTATATTTCGATGAGTTGTTTACAATGTATTTATTGTGAAATATTTATCTTATAGGAAGAGTTGTTATCCCTTTAAATCGAATAGAATTTAATTGCATTTAATTAAATAAAATCAAATAAAATTCCCCAAGACTCTCAGATGTCAAATCGGAATCCTTCATATTGCTTCAAATGTAAATTAAACGATGTTGTATATTAGTCACGTATTCATATGTGGAACAATATACCTGCCAGCCGAATGCGACAGGTGGCCTTTTAATCAGGTGGTATCACATGCATGCATCTCTCTCTATACAGGGGTTTCGATATTTACATCATTATACCTGATGGTCTTATGAAGTGCTGTGTTGATGCTCCTATTCCGGCAATCGCAACTGAAGCAATCAAATGGCTCGGCTCGTAAAAAGAATGGTTAGGTATTACTATTGCAAATGTCATCATCATTTGGTTGTATGTAAGTCACGGCCATCGCTACCCAAGATGTTTATATTTTATGTCACGCAATATGTTCCAGTTCTAGTCTGGATTTTTGACACGTGTAGGACATATCATTGGTATCATGGAATTGCATCAGTCATTGGAATGATGTTTTAATTGATTTTCTATTGAAATGAATGGAATAGAGATATAGAGATACAGACAAACATATGTTTAAATTTTAAAAAACATATTTGTCGTTTCCATGAAAATAATATTTTATTGCAGCTGAAGATGGAATTCTTGAATATGCCTCATTCGTATACAGACATATATGCCTCTCTTTTACCTTTTTTAAGTACTTTCACGCGCACTGGCATACCGGCAATCTAAGTATCGTATTATGTAAGAATGGTTATAACAGAACACGGGGAAAATCGATATACCAGTTACTTTTTAGGTACTCAACAGCTGGATCGATCCTTACTTTCACATTCGGATTATAACCTTTGGATACCGCAGTAAATTTATGTTGTCTTTTACTGTAGTTAAGCAGTAGCGTTAAAGCCATATAACCTTTTCTCTAACTGTAGGTGGCTGTGTCATTTGTCCCCATTGGTTTAAAGTCTTTTCACATGCTCAACCAAGGCCTTTATTGCTTTGTTTACTCAATAGTAATAGAGGAAGCTAAGTCATTTGCACGGCACGTTTGCGTTTACGGACATCAGTATGTGCATTGATTCCTTCAGTGTTGTAGAGCTGGTAAATTCAGTGTCATAGATGTCAGAAGCCTGAAACGCTACGATCATTAGATAGAAATATTCTTTACTTAGAGACTTAATAATACCAGCCAAACGCAACGTTTCGGTCCATCAGCTATGGGACTTGATCACGTGAATGCTAATTTAGTTTCTAAATAAAGAATAATTTTGTTTTATTGTCGAGTGGCCATGAGAGACGTCTTTCATAGAACACATCGATTGTGAGCAAAACATGGTGTAATATTTGTTATCCCCCTAGTCACAAGTCACGGGCACAGTGGCGGATTAAGAGGGGGGGGGTCAGGGGGGTCCTTCGGTTTCTGAAAAACGTATCACACCAATATTCCCCTCTTGAACCGTACCTAAACCGTACCAAAAAAAAACACTGTTTGCTCTCCAAATCGCCAAAAAAATTTTGGACCCCACACCAAGGGGGCGATGGTCAGCTTCGCAACTGAGGCCTGTCGTTCAGGGCCCCCTCTTCAAATAACCCTAGATTCACCCCTGCGTGTATATTTGACGCTATAATCAGTTTGTCTTTATAGGTCGACACCCACACCTTTATATGAAGTATTTGTTGTCATGAATGATAAAACGGCGTGCTCATTGACCTCTCAATTGCCATTTAAGGACAATGTAGTGGTAATTGCTGCCAATTACAAGCAATGGTGACTACCCACTGTTGTAGGCATTGGCTTCTATTCTGGTCTGATTTCAAAACACCGTGGATAATACGTGCTTTCTACTAACATTAAAAAGTCCATTAGCCGATAGGATTTTAAATAATCAGTAAGTTCAAGATACAAAGGAAATATGCAATTTGGCTTTCGCATATCATCAATTGAATAAATATGGGACCAATTAACGTCTTGTTGAGAAGGAAGGCAGCTGCCAAAAAGACTTTAGTGTTTTATTGACTCATCTATATCTGCAACCTTCAATCACGTCAGAGAAAGTAGACACAAACAAAGCCTTCTGATTTACCAATGAGACAATCAGTTAAATGGAAAATACCGATAGCATTTCTGAAGACAAGTCTAAGCAAGTTCCTTCGAATAGCTGATATGATTATGCACACATATCAGTTTACATTTGTAGATAAAATGAAACTCATTCGCCTGAAATTAACTGAAACATAGAAAAAGGATTCTGAAGTTAAGTTTGCGCCATGACACTGAAGCAGTGCATAAATGCCGCGTTTATCATTTTCTGTATGGCGCTCCATTTGGTTAGCGCTGGTATTTACCGTTCGGAAAATTTTCGCGTACAAAAAGGATTTCGCTTAGAGAACGGGGCACTGGGTGTGGTACACACTGTACGCTCTAAAATAGACTGCTCCAAGAGATGTCTCTCTCTTGGTCCTGTGAAGTGTTCATCTGTCAACTACAGTCCAGTAAACAGGACGTGTGAAATAAACGACAAAACGATCCACGATGGCGCTGGGGCAGTACTAAAGGAAAACAGCGACTGGGAGTTTTTAGATACTGGCAAAGGTGAGGTCTTATATGACGTCATGGTTTGGTTAATTACACCCATGAACCGTTTGCCAATTTGTTCAATTTACCCTCACGCTTACGTGACCAAATTGAAAAAGATAAAAGCTGGATATGTTTCTTAAATTTAACTGCATACCGTGCATATACATGATAAGGTGGGGTAGGGGGATCTGTTAGTTGATAGGACGATTACAGTTGTTTTGTGTTGGTTAACATCTCAAAAACGGCATTGAATCACTTTGAATTTTTCTTGCAGGTCCGCCACAAGCACCGACGATTATGTTCGTCAATATAACAGATAACTCCGCTGTTCAGATCACGTGGATGGCGGGAGAGAATGGCGGCTTTGATCAGATCTTCACCATTGATGTAAAACTACAGAATTCTGACGATAATTCATACGTCACCAAACTGTCCGTGTCCGATCCTGGTCATCGAGATAGTATGACGTCACTTATATCCAATCTGACCGAGGGGTTTCAATACACATTGAGATTGACTGCAGCCAGTACTCGACCAGTCGGGGTGAATAGAGCAACCGTAACAGTTGTAATCTCGCTCCTTTCAGACGGTATGGTTGGGTGTATTGTCGCTAAAATTCTCGATTAATGGTGTGATTCAGATAAACACATTTTTTGCATGTTTGATTTCTATAAAGATAAGACATCAGTTTGATTTGTCTGGTAACTGAGCAATAATATTCTTATATAAAAAGTACCAAACTGAAACGATGTTTTCTTGTTTTGAAGTTTTCACGTGTGACACCCTCAAAACAAACGGTTATCCGAGTGGCTCGTACAATATAGATGTGGACGGCTTTGGTCCACTGACTAAATTTGGGGTGGAGTGCGACATGACCTTTGACCCTCCCCTGACCATTTTCCACCACGACTTAGAAGGACGAAGTGGTCAACTTGGACCAGACCATCAGGGGTACCTTTATCGAAATCTGACCTACTCTCCTAGTACTCTAGAGCAGATAACAGGCGTGGTGGATACGTTTGGTCATTGTCACCAGTACCGAAAGATAGAATGTCACGGAATAGGGGGTAAGATATTTCTCACTTTATATCTAGATTACAGCTATTACGTTGTCTAGCATGTAATAAAACTATTAATTGGTTACACAATCTGGAAAAATTTAGAATTTCGCATTACAGAGTTATAATTGTGGAATTCGAGTATTCGATATGGACTGATATAAATGTGTACGTACCGCCGTCTCCATGGCAACAGCTTTCACAATATTCCTTGCCAAAGCCAATACTGACAGAACTTATAACTCGAAAAACTGATGTTTTCGGGGCAACAGCCTTACTTAAAGAATTCCAACATAATGTGCACCGTTATTTAAACTTTATTTGCCAGTCTTTACATATCATTTCTTCTGTAGCTATAGAAACCGTAGCTTAGCAAGAGAGGGCAACTAAAATCGGTGCAATTTCGAATAACAAATACAATGGATATAATCTGTATGTACAATGTATCTTTCAAGGCATGGGGACAGAGACGTCCCAGAGTGACCGTTACGGCCAATACAATTACTGGGGACAATACTTCGCGGGGGGTTCACCCAATGCAACCTGTCTTTGTGGTAAACACTCTGCTTGCAGTGTGGGTGCAGGTAAGAATTGATAGAAACTGTGGCAAGTATGATCGGGTTAACATTTGGTGTATTTAAAATGAATGAGTGAATATTTTAGTCATTGTGAATTGTAACGCTGATGTATCTTGTCAAAGATATACATATGTACATATACAAACCTTTTGAATATGATATAACATTTAAAGCACTAGACAGTTTTGCTCATTGAAAATACAAAGCATAGTTCGAAGAAAATGTAAGAAAGCTGTGACATTGCACGTGTCTCGAGGCTGGTCGTAGTGGCAGCTTTAGCCCCTTTTCCTATATAAAGATCATGATTTATCTTTACAGAGCAGTGTAACTGTGACAAGAATGAGTCTGTGTGGAGATATGACGCAGGTTACATCCAGGAAAAGGTGTTTCTTCCTATTGTACAGACTAGGATTGCTGACATCGATAACTCTACTGAATTCGGTCATGAGACGCTGGGGCCCCTGGTTTGCTCGTCCTGGGCTGAAGGTAAGATAATACCATGGAAGCATGTTGTAAATGCATGTAAATTATCATTTCTTAAGTTGTAAAGCATTGACATAAAGGCTAACATACATGTAATCAAACAGGATTCTAACAGGATACAACACACGTGTACAGGTACAAAGATTTCAAGGCACATTAAGTAACCACTAAATGTTAAGGGAAATCACTAGAAGGGTCAAAAGTACCTGAATAAGGTATTTACATACGCGCCATNTGGTGTATTTAAAATGAATGAGTGAATATTTTAGTCATTGTGAATTGTAACGCTGATGTATCTTGTCAAAGATATACAGATGTACATATACAAACCTTTTGAATATGATATAACATTTAAAGCACTAGACAGTTTTGCTCATTGAAAATACAAAGCATAGTTCGAAGAAAATGTAAGAAAGCTGTGACATTGCACGTGTCTCGAGGCTGGTCGTAGTGGCAGCTTTAGCCCTTTTTCCTATATAAAGATCATGATTTATCTTTACAGAGCAGTGTAACTGTGACAAGAATGAGTCTGTGTGGAGATATGACGCAGGTTACATCCAGGAAAAGGTGTTTCTTCCTATTGTACAGACTAGGATTGCTGACATCGATAACTCTACTGAATTCGGTCATGAGACGCTGGGGCCCCTGGTTTGCTCGTCCTGGGCTGAAGGTAAGATAATACCATGGAAGCATGTTGTAAATGCATGTAAATTATCATTTCTTAAGTTGTAAAGCATTGACATAAAGGCTAACATACATGTAATCAAACAGGATTCTAACAGGATACAACACACGTGTACAGGTACAAAGATTTCAAGGCACATTAAGTAACCACTAAATGTTAAGGGAAATCACTAGAAGGGTCAAAAGTACCTGAATAAGGTATTTACATACGCGCCATCCTTCGTTAATTCATTCACCAAAATGAACAAATTAATTTAGCAATAGTGAAAGGAGTATCGATTTACGTAATTTTGCCTTTCCTGTTATAGTCGCAAAGTTGCATAGATCCTAAGCAGTTGGTCAAGCTATTTTATGTACACTTCGTATTTTGTTATATTATATACAGCCGTGTATGTCCCAACAACTCCTTAATTTGTATAAAGCCTTGGGACCAGGTATGTACTCTCACTTGCATTTTCATTAGTGAACCGGCAGCCATCATCCTCTGACTTAATGCCCCACACGGAAACTGATGATGTCACCGTTTATAACAGGATCTGTACATGTGCGTCTACATCCGGGCATTATCGATTGTTATTAAGTAGTTCGTTTTAGATCGAACGTGAGTTTCCGTAGTTATGGAAGGCACGTTGAGTGACTCTTATATTCTATTTGTTTGGACATATCGGTGCAATAGCGCTTTAGAGAAATCCTCATTGTTCTATTCTATGGTGTATTTCATTATAATATAGTCTATTTCAGCTTATTTTATTAAAAGATCGAGACTTCGCAAAGTAATTTCGACAGATCAGGATGCCAGTGATTTGATTCATACATAAGTCTATACTTGTGATACGTTCACTTGGAGGTTTTAACGCGTTTTTGACAAAATAGTTCCCGGACCCAGTTATCAATATGTGGCAGTAAAATGATGCTCATTCTTTAAATCTCAAAAATAAACCTCGAGAACGACTTAACAATGAATTTTCACCAGACGTTTATAAACAGTATGCACTAGCACATTGACATTTTTTCAAATCGATTACAGCAATTTGATTGTCATTGATTGTGTTTATCCTTTTAATCAAAAATGCCCTAATAACGTATTAAGTATGACGTTTCGTTACTCAAAAATAAAACCCTTCGAAATGTGTTTTCAACAGGCCGTGAGCGACCTCACAGTTCATTTTTACCGGACTCGGCATTCTCGGCGTCAACACGCCATAGAGATTGTTCCATTCTTGGGGGCTCCATGTCAAAGAGTCACAAATGGTGTGCAGACAACCTTATCGTCAATGAATGGTACCAAATAGATCTGCAAAGGAAGATGATTATAACCAGGGTGGCCACAAAGGTATATATATATATACACTGTAGCTACGCGTAATAGATGTGGACTACTTGGAATTCATGTGTTCGCTTTTCAGAGTGGGCAACCTATCCCTTATAGGTGCATTTGCTTAAATTGAACCAGTACCCAGGGCGGAGTAACGTCAACAGTTCCAATAATATTAACTTGATAGAATGCTCCTTAATTTCGTGGCTTTTAGTTAAATAACTGCATGTACAAAGGTTATTTGGGTCGATGTATCGTTTGCAAGTGTAGGTTTTGAAGATGATATGTTTTATGGAAGGATCCAGCCTGCCTGCAGTGATGCCGTTTGAATAGTAGCCTTTTGTGATAGCGGGTAGCTTATTAGGATACCAGTTCCACAACAAACAGTCACATTACCGACGGTGCATTTAGAGACTAAATTTGCCGTCCATGATGCAGTGAATATATAGGTCTGTTTATTTCAGGGTCGACCCGATTATACACAGTATGTGACGAAGTACGAGTTGTTAACTTCAGATGACGGGGCCAACTTCAGCTGTTATTCCATTACAAACGGCACGTGCAAGGTACGGGTATTTATCAGACAGGATTTGGTTCTAGTTGTATCATATTACGAATTTGAACACGAGCAGAGATTCCTGTTATAGCTCCGAATTAATGTTATTAAACAAATAATCTCAGTAAAAGCGAAAAAAAATTTATGTTGCTGCTTCACTGAAGGGCCTTATTACACCCGTTATTTAAATATTCCATGTTCCATGTATGTCTCCGATGTACCGCGGAAAGTCACAGATTTAATAATGTATAAACCACACTATTTATGTACTGATTATGGTTTCCTTTTTGGTTTGATTGGGAAAAATCAACACGCTTGCAACAATATAAACTTTGTTATAGAAATTAACATACAGCAACACATCAAAATGGTTTCCGTATATTCCCTGAAACAAACAAACAAACAAAAAGATTTACCATCAAAACGCATGCTTAGGGATAAAGGCAGTTATTACATGTATTACTGGTGTCTTCATATATGTTAATGGAAACAAGTGTTTTCATTGGCTTTTTAAAGCTTAAAAGCCATTTGGAATATTACAGGTTTTCAGAGGGAATTGGGACACTAGTACAGTTCGCAGCAATTACCTGAAACCCCCTGCAGTCGGCCGCTACGTTCGGTTCAGTGTGCAGGAATGGTTTGGTTACATCAGTGGTAAATTTGAGGTCTACGGATACGACGCAGGTATGGAGCTGCTATTAAACTGAATTAACACACAAGACCGAAAGTAGGAGTTGACCACGTGGTAATCATGTTACACGTGACCCAGTCACGTGGTTAACACGTGATGTGTAGACTGGGAGGGATCTGTATGATGCTAAGCCGCGTGCACTTTGGTACTTTATAACTTATACCTTTATAACTTTTATACCTTATAACTTTTCAGTATAAAATATGAAGACCTGCGTCATAGGCATATTACAGTGCTCATTTTATTATTTAGATGTCAATGGCTCTTGAACTTTCATTCATATCAGTCAAAAAACACAGGAAACAGGAGGACCAAGGGGATACCGTCCGTCACTATATTTTTAATGTTAACCCTCTTACCCCAAGTAACATACATGTAATATTGATTTATACGAACCTTAATAAGATCCAGTTTAATAAAAGATTTTTGTGGTTAGTTCGGCCATATTTTCTAGGTGTTAACATTGAAGATATAAACATAATAACATACCTTTATGAATAATTGATATTATAACGTCTAAATCAATTTACTTTCCAGCAAGCTGTTTTTTTAGATGGGGCTAATAGTGTCCGTTACCTTTAGCCAATTTTACCAATTATTTATTAATTGTTTAGCCCCCACATAAAGTTTGCTAATAACGCACATGAGATTGTGTGATGTAAGTTGGCACATACGACTTCATATAGACAAGTATATTTTGATGACACTTTTGACACCCATGCTTCGATTTTAAGGGTACGCCAATACCAGCCAGATAAATGAACGCAGTTCTGTCACTCTTTCCTGTCCTCCTGGGACGTGGATAGATATTCTGGATGTATTCTACGGGCAAGAGAGTGTTGGTTGCAGGGCAGATCAGAAAGGATCAATAAGAGCCGTCAAGAACCTGTGTCAGCAGCGTACTAGCTGTGCAGTTCCTTCAAGTAATGGAGTATTTGGTGACCCGTGTTTAGGACCTGCCAAGTACCTGTGGATAACTCACAAATGTGTGTGTAAGTACATCATGATGTTGCTCAATATTTATTTGATTTGTCTCTCTCTGTTTTTGGTGACCCTTTAATGACTGCATGTAAACACCCAATCAGACACTTAATCTGTAAAAATAAAGATGTACACAAAGCGGTAAAAATGCCACGCACATTATTGCCACTTAGCCCGACATATGCCACCATTAAGTTTGTTAAAGTATCATTTAAATTAATACCAAAGGGTAACGTTTTACAGAAAATCTACCCTGTATGATCGCTTTGCATGAGTCTCAAAAAGATCAGAACACATTACATGCCATGCAAATTGAGTGAGGGAAATGATAAAACATAATTGTAACACACAAAATTGTCATACCATTCAAAATATCACTAAGGGTTGCTTTGATTTTACAGCCATTATGAGTTCGTGCTACGAGTACTACATGCATGGTTTTCGGTACAGCGGTCAGTTTGAAATCGACCCTGACGGAGCCAACAATGGTGTTGGGCCTTTCTTGGTAGAGTGCGACATGACTACCACGCCACCTGGGAAGACAATCATTCATCACACTAGAGATATGGAAGAGTCAAGTCAGATTTTGGTAATGTATCATTGTAATTATCATAAAAAACTTGGTAAGGTATATTTGTCATTATTAGTGTTCAACACCCAATGAGGTATATTTTTGATTATTATTACAAACCCAGTAAGCTAAATTTGTAAGCATAATTATAGATTCGGTAAGGTATGTCTGTAATTATTATTACAAACCCAGTAAGGTAAATCTGTAAGCATTATTACAGACCCAGTAAGGTATATTTTCAATTAAAATTTAAATAATCATTATTTTCGATTATTATAACAGGCTCAGTAAGGTATATTTTTAATTATTATTACAGACTCAGTAGGGTACATGTACACTCGTATTACAAACACAGGTCCCAGACGCCCCAAGTTCCACTTGTTCACAAGACATGAGCTAGTATATCACGTGTATTCATACGCGTAGTAACGTATAACGCTGAAGTCAGTTGTATATATCTATGGTAGGAGGTAATATGTGAACATGTATATCAATAAAGATATGTGAATCTCTACAGTAGCAAACTTTTGAAATGTGTCGTGTATCGTATTCCATATTCTAGGGTCATGAGGCCTGTGGGAGTTGGAGCGAGACAATGAACTACTTCAGTGTAGATATTTCTACCCAAATGACACCGTTCGTGGACACCATTGCCACGTGCTCCCAGTATGCCAAGTGGAGGTGTCACGGTGCTCATGCTCTGGGAAATTGCAACTACGTTACTGACAGAGGTAAGTTTTAATTCAATATAACTTTGGTCGATTAACTAATAAAAACTATATAGTATACATTTGCCACAGGTGCTATAAGATTAAATCATATGCGGTTTTCCGTGTTTAGATTCGTTTCTCCAACATGACCTAGAGGTCAGGTATACAACATCGATTTGTCAATTTAAATGTGATCACACAGAACCATTTCTCTTTAAGTGTCCTAAAACTCTCCTTGCGGTGTCTTTGCTCTCCCTGCAGCCACCCCCTACGATATGTAGCACTCACATATACTGGCTGTTACCAATGTTCTGCCTCTGAAAACCACAAAAGCAGGAGAATGAAAACCAACAAAAAGTTCAACCGTTATCGCGATCGATTACCGCTGGTCCAACCACGTGCGGGTCTATTTCAAACAATTAATCTTGTTTGATTGAAAAACATGTATATTATTTATGTAACATTGTGTGTCTTAAAAATCGCTTGTACATTCAGGTGGTACAAAAATCCCGTATTGGGCTGGTGGTAATAGTGCTAATTTATGTGCCTGTGGAGTTGCTGGAAACTGTGTCGGTAAGTTTTTATTTGGAATAGATTGCCCCATTTTTTCCTTTGCTACACTGCACGTACACGCGCGTTTTGTTTGACGGATTTGCTTGAAATAACGTACATCTATACATTCAGTGTATATACGTTAATCAACCTAGCATTATATGGTAAGCAATCCCTGGTCCATTTCTTGTTTTGGGTTTTAAATGTTTGGATTACGTTAGATAGCGTTGAGCATGTGAACTAGCGATATAGAAATGAAAAATAATGCGGTATACATATCCAAGTGTCTTCAGGTCCATTGCTTCTGAATGTCTCCTTTAAAGATTTTTTGTCCTTTTACTTTGCATTTTATTCTTATCAATAATTGCATCCATTGATAGCTCTTAGTGGCAGAGGTCAGCGGAAACTACCTTTGCCAAAACTCTGAACAGTTTCTGTTGACATCTGGAACCCAATGTACCCCTACGCTCTCCAAAACAATCCACAGGAAAATCACGATTTGACATATATTTACACTGTTGTCTAATTCAGACGGCAGAAGTGACTGTAACTGTAATAAAAACGACAAAGTGTTGAGAGAAGATGAGGGATATTTCACAGACAAGTCCTTGCTCCCAATTGAAGCTTTCTACAACGGTGACACGGGGCACGCCGGTGAATATGGCTATTATACCATTGGGCCATTGGAATGTCAACCTGGTGAGATTCCATTGATTTTTATTGTAAAATATTACCTCAGTATCTCATACTTAAAGTTACCTTGACATCTTTAATTTTTTCAACTACAATTTATGCAGATATGGTTCCGTTCTTACACAACTTTATACAGGTTTCAGTATGCTGGCATATGGAATATTCCTGTCTTTTTTTAGCTTTGCCCTCTTGCACGGAATGGAAACGGTTTAACAGCACTAGCGGCCTCTATTGGGTTGACCCAGATGGCGGTGGAGGTGTGGCCGCTTTCGAGGTGTATTGTGACATGTCAACCACACCACCCACTGTGACCTTTCACCATGATTATGAAGACAGGACACACGTGATGGGCTATGATCCGGCTTTGTCCTATTCGGTAGATTTGACATATAACTGTAAGTGTTGCTACTGCGATATTGTTCTGATTTTGAGGCAAAATGCTTTACGTAATTTCAAAAATTGAACTTGGTTGCTTTTTCAGTGTGTTCAAACTAATTATCATCTTTGTACTCCATTAATTAGAGCATTCACATATACCGTTATATATGCACACACATTATATATATATATATCATTGCTGCCATGTTGTATATCAGGTGTGCGTATATTTGTTTGTTTTTCCAGTAAATACAGATCAAATAGCGGCCTATGTAGATATCGTCGGTTTCAACTGTACCCAGTACATCAAATATGAATGCTACGGCTCACATATTCAAAGCAGTCCCAATATACATACCGCCTGGTATGATCGGCATGGACAGCAGTCAACATTCTGGGCCGGCGGGGATCCAGATGGCGCCACGGGCAATTGCGCATGCGCAAAAGACGGATCCTGTGCAAACGCCAACAAGCGTAAGTTTTGATACCAACGAGGTGATGAAATTATATCGTAACCAAGAAAGCTAGTGGGGCCTGTCATTTCATATTGACATGTAACAGTAATTGATATTCGAGGTGAAGTTATATTATATTATATCATATAAAAGGTGATTAATAGAATTACACAACAATAGTTAAAGGTTGAGATATTTTTTTAACAAAATTTTCATTATTACATATACTCTTCATACATTAACTTTTAGATTGCAACTGCGACTCAAATGACTTCGTTTGGCGATTAGACGAAGGTGACATCACTCAGTCGGATTATCTGCCAGTTACTATGGTAAAAGTTGGTGACACGGGCGAGTGAGCGGAACAAGGCTATCATACAATAGGACCACTGGTTTGCCAGGGTTAGAATCTAATGTGAACTTCTAGAACTCTAAAGCATAAGCAGTGATACAGGAAACGTATTTCGTCACTAGTCTGACGTAACTGAATGCGTAGCCAGGCCATTGCCATTCACGTGACCAAGGTCCATAGCTGGTAGGCCTACAAGCTGTGTTTGACTATGTCATTAAGTCTGCAAAGAATGATTCTGTCTTATCATCCTGTCTAGAAACCACCAAAAACACATATCATAGAACACAAGGATTACTAGCTAAGTGTGGTGTTATGCTTGAAGAGTCATTGTCATCTTCCCCGGTCACAAGTGGCTTGGATTTTTGGTGTTAAAATCAGTTTGTCTTTATATTTAGTATTTGTTGATAATAATGCTAACATTGAGTACCCATTGTCTTCTTAAGTGCCTTTTGATTTTAACGCCTTCACTAATTGCAAGCAGTAAAGAAATTAGAATCAAATAAGTAAAAAAGGACCTAACGAGTTATTATGTGCAAGTTTAATTTCTAAGAGTCAACAAGTTTGAGAATTGTTTTGTGTAAAGAAAGGATGAAAAATACCAAAGTCATATATAGTTTTGTTTTATTGTTTAATTTCAATCAAATTGTAAGTTTCTGCCCCGTGTATAGCACATGCCAACTTAGTATGATGTAATTCAAAAAATATTCTTGAATTTCTAATTGAAAGCAAAGATTTTTGCAATTACCTAAAAGAAAATATTTAAAGGTGAATTGACAGATCAGAATGGAAAATTGTGATTATCACGCAAAAGGAAATGCAACAAAAGCAAGCGAATGCGTGATTGGTGTGCACAAATAGAGTATTAATCCTCTTGAATTTGCACAAAAAATCCAATGGTGAATAAACATGTGAAAGTTCCAATTCGTCACAATAATACTGGTAATAACTCTCATTACAAAACAATAGTGACTGCACACTGTGCTAGGTATCGATAATTTTTCTGGTCTGATTTCACCGAAACACGGTTCTAGAATTAATCATTGAACCTTAACAGCGCTCTTCTATCACCTCAGTTTGTTTCCTGTTCAGGATATAGGATTATGTACTCCGAGCAACTCGATATGTAGGGGGTCAAGGCACCATAGATAATACGTGCTCTTTCCAGACATTAAAGAGGCCATTAGCCGATAGGATTTCAAATAATCAGTAGACTGAAGATACAAAGAAAATGTGTTATTTAGCTTTCACTTAACATCAATTGAATAAACATGGGACAAATTACCGCGTTGTTGAGAAGGAAAGCAGCTACCGAAAAGACTTTTAAGGGTTTTACTTGCTAATTTATATGTACACAACCGTCAATAACGCCAAAATACGTAGTCACAAACAAAGCCTTATGATTTAACAGTGAGACAATCCGTTTTATGGAAAATATCGATAGCATTTCTGGAGGCAATATATATCCACGTAAAAGTCTTTGACTATCTGAAACATGTAGCACTATATATCCGTAAATGTATTTGAAACTACTCATCGTGTTGATTGATATATAGAAAAGAGAATTTCGAAGTTATTTTGCGCCATGACACTGAAACAGTGCATAAACAAGGCAGCAATCGTGCTCTGTATGGTGCACCAATTGGTCAACGCCGGCGTGTACCGTTCGGAGAATTTTCGCGTACAAAAAGGATTTCGCTTAGAGAACGGGGCACTGGATGTGGTACGCACTGTGCGCTCTAAAATAGACTGTTCAAAGAGATGTCTCTCTCTTGGTCCTGTAGGCTGTACATCTGTCAACTACAGTCCAGCAAACAGGACGTGTGAAATAAATGACAAAACAATCCATGATGAGGCTGGGGCAGTACTAAAGGAAAACAGCGACTGGGAGTTTTTAGATACTGGCAAAGGTGAGGTCTTTTATGACGTCATGGTTTGGTTAAGTACATTAAACATTACTTTTTTTTCTCTTTGTTCAAGGTACATTTACCAATATGCCTATGTCGATGACCAAATTGAAAAAGAGATGAAAACTGGATATATTCTAAAATGTAACTGCATGGTATTGTGTGTGTGTGTATGTGTGTGTGTGTGGGGGTGTTATTAGTTATAAGTTTACATATTGCGATACTTTGAATTTTTGTTGTAGGTCCGCCACAAGCACCGACGATTATGTTCGTCAATATAACAGAGAACTCCACTGTTCACATCACATGGGTGGCAGGAGAGAATGGCGGCTTTGATCAAACCTTCACCATTGATGTAAAAATACAGAATTCTGATGATAATTCTTACGTCACAAAAGTGACCATGCCTGACCCTGGACATCGAGATAATGTGACGTCACTTGTAGCTAATCTGACTGTGGGTTTTCTGTACACATTGAGGTTGACTGCAACAAATTCCCGGCCAGTCGGGGTGAATACAGCATCCGCAATAGTTCTTTTCTCGCTTCTTTCAGATGGTATGTTTGGGTGTGTTTCCGCTAAAATTGTCGATTAACGGTGTGATTCTAGAGATTTTGTATGTCTGATTTCTATAAAGATAAGATACCAGTTTAATTTGTCTGATAACCCTATTAAAACGATGTTTCCTTGTTTTGAAGCCCTGACGTGCGACATCCTGAAAACAAACGGTTATCCGAGTGGATCGTACACTATAGATGTGGACGGCGTTGGTCCACTGACTGAGATTGGGGTGGAGTGTGACATGACCTTTGACCCTCCCCTGACCATCGTCCACCACAACTTAGAGGGACGAAGTGGCCAACTTGGACCAGATCATCCAGGGTACCTTTACCGAAGTTTGGTGGGTACAAGTGCCACGTTAGCACAGATAACAACCCTGGTGGACGCGTCCAGCCATTGCCATCAGTACCGGAAGATAGAATGTCACGGAATAGGGGGTAGGACATTTGAACCTTTGTATTCAGATTAGGCTACCGTTTCTTACATTAGGTGCAATTATGAATTGGTTTCACAGTTTGGTCTTAATGTTCGATTTCATGACTTTCATGTTACAAGCAAAGACAGAGCCTGTAGTCTGCATTACACGCTGTAAGCAAAATGAAAAGTAGGCAGGAATATTGTTGCTTTACAGGCATGGGGACAGAGACCTCTCAAACTGACCGTTACGGCCAGTACAATTACTGGGGACATTACTTCGCGGGAGGTTCTCCAACTGCAACCTGCCTTTGTGGTAAATACTCTGCTTGCAGTGAGGGTGCAGGTAAGAATTGATAGAAACTGTGGCAAGTACATATGATCGGTTGAACATGTGGTGTTCTACAATTAATATTACAGTTTGAATGAATGTGTTTAGTCAATGTGATTTGTGATGTTGATGTATCTTGTCAAAGATATACTAGTACATGTATACATATGTAGATATACAAACCAAATATCATCAACAGCAATTGCATTTGGTATATGCCAATACATTTAACGTACTTGACATGTTTATTAATTGAAATTGCAAAGCATCGCCTGATGCAATATCATATTAACTAAACTCATTGACGACGTTCCTTGTGGAGTACCATCAGCATACGTCTTGAAACTGGCCGGAGTGGCAATTAACCCGAGTCTCTTTTCGCTGGCAATGAATCATGGTTTATCTTTACAGAACAGTGCAGCTGTGATAACGATGACGCCGTGTGGAGATATGATGCAGGCTACATCCAGGAGAAAGTGTTACTTCCTATCGTACAGACTAGGATCGCTGACATCGATAACTCTACTGAATTCGGTTATGAGACGCTGGGACCCTTGGTTTGCTCTTCCTGGGTTGAAGGTAAGGTATTTATTGAAATAGGAAGCAATAATTAGAATGGATACAAATTGTTACCGGTTGGCCAAGGTGTAAAGTGCTTATTTACAACTGCGTGCAGACTTGGAGCTTTTTTAACCCCACCTCCTTCCCCTACTCTAAAGGATTTGAAACTGCCCGTTTTAAGTTTTGGTTGGGTTTTTTACTTTCTTAGTTCTAAAGAAACATGATAGGATATGATGCAGGTTTCTCATTTAGAATGTTGTGCATCCCATGTTGAGCATGTTCAAAGTCACGTTATTTCAATGAAATGATGCAAAAATACCTGTTCAAATATAATGTTATTAACTCTTAGTTGATATATGTACATTTAAATTGTGATTTGTTAAATTGTAGCACATGGATATTTAAGCTAACATACACGTTATCGAACAAGATTCTAAATTTAGATACAACAACTGTGTACAGATATAAACTTGCAAGGTACATTAAATGACTACTTAATATTAAGGGAAATTACTAAAAGACTTAAAATTACCTGAATAAGATATTACTACGCCCCATTTCATTAATTCATTCAATAGAATGAGCATATTTAGCAATAGTGAAAAGAGTATTGATTTACACAATTTTGTCTTTCCTGATATCATTCGGTAAGCTGCCCACTTCCTGAGCTCTTGGCCAAGCTATCGGTGTTTTTGTGTACACTTTGTTATATTATATAACCCCTCGTTGTTCTAATTTACAGTGCATTTCATAGAAGTCTATTTCCGCTTAATTCATTACAAGATCGAAGCATCTCAGAATACACTGCGATTGAACAGGGTACAAGTGTACCAATGGTTTGATTCATATCTGCTGCCTGTCACACTTCTCTATAATTATTAGAGGGTGTTTAACGCACTTTTGACAAAATAAATCCCGAACTTCACTATCAGTATGTTACCTTTATTTATCATAATCTCGAGAGCGAGTTTGCATTGTATGAATTTTCATCAGACACTTTCAGGAGACACTTGTGCAACGACATTGTTCCAAAATGATTGCGATTTTTAGTGATAGCATATTTTATTCCTTTGATTAAACAACCCGATTTAATGAAAATGGGTTTTCAACAGGCCGCGAGAGACCTCACAGTTCATTTTTACCGGACTCGGCTTTCTCGGCGTCAACATACCACGGAAGTTGTTCCATACTCGGGGGCTCCATGTCAAAGAGTGGCGCCTGGTGTGCGGCGACCAACGTCATCAATGAATGGTTCCAAATAGATCTGCAAAGAACAACGGTTATAACCAAGGTGGCCACGCAGGTAGGTAAAGGCAACGTTGCCTTATTCCAACGCGGGTTATCTTGTCAAACAGCGTCGTTTTATAAAAGTCTGGGCCGGTGTAACGTGACAGAGAGTCCCCCATAATAGAGAATTCACTTCCCACAACTTTGTTCAGGTGAGCTGCGCCCTAGATTTTGGTCCACTTAGGTCAAACTAACCCTAACTATTATAACTATATGGAGGGCAGAGTTCCTGTTACATGGACCCTGGCATGTCACACTTTCTGCAATCCTTATTGTTCAAGTGGAAACTCTAGTTCAACTCTATTACACTCACGTGGTTTACTTTCCTTTTGTGTTCAAGTGAAGGGTGCTGAGTTTCATATTATCTAGTTTAGTCAGTTATGCCTTATAACAAGGATATTTATATATAGATGAGATGCGACTTTGCCATCAAGTCTGGTTGACATAATTCGACAGGTCCGAACTCAGATGGTCGTAAGATTAGCTCACAAACATGTGTTAAAACAGCAATGGCCCGTAAAACGTACTTGGGATCCGAGCTGACTCAGTTCTGGTGTCGATACATCGATTATATTGTCAATATTTTATTTTAGGGCCGAGGCGGTGGGTCGCAGTATGTGACCAAGTACGAGTTGCTGTTCTCCGTGGACGGGGTCGGTTTCGAATGTTATGCTGTTACAAATGGGGCATGCAAGGTAATTACCGCATGTTGTTCACG